TATGGCATTGGCCCTCACCGCGCGCACCTTACACGTATATTTTCTAAGGTATATTTACGTATAGGAACCGGTGATTAATTTAGGTCGTTCAAAGGTCACGGTAAGATGGCAGAAGACGTATGTCATTACGGAATACAATGAGATTGTTCTTTGTCCCGGGAAGGAGGACAATTGTCTTATAATAACCGAAACGTCTGAAGACCTGGCTGGGAAAGTCGCCTCTGTTTTCCCCCTTTTTTTTATTTCCATCCAGCATTTTTCCTTAGCGATTTATTCTTAAATTAATTGTCTAATCGATGGTCACGTGTATCGGGGAGAAGGCGTGTTGAGTTGTTTTTAACAAACGTTTTATGACGTAATTTATCGTCTATTTTTCCTTTCGCTATTTTTCTAATGGTAAACACCCGTAACTAAGGACAGTAATTTATAATCCGACGCAGACTCCATACGTAATAGAGGCGAAGGTCGTCGGCGTTATTACGCTCGAATTACGTCATTTTTCGTCATTTAATTTCCCGGATTTTAATTATAGTATCTCGATGGACGTAGGTCGAACGAGTTTGTTTTTTTTTTTTTTTTTGCCTCCCTCCCGCGTTAAATATTACGTAACGCTCGAATGTCCTTCGAAATCAATCATGAAACTGAGGTGGGGAGAAGAAACCTTCCATTCCCGGACTGGGAAAACTGCGTAGAGCGAAAGCTCTTACGGTCTGACTCCCTCTCGTTCGTCATTTTTCCCTCCTGATCGGCCAACCCGTCCGTCGTTGGATCGTCGGATCTTTCCGAGTTCTTTCCGTTTTGAAGTAGATAAACGTAAAAAAAGTAGAGTAAAAGCAATAGCTGGTTGGTCCGGATCAACCTGTATAAAACAATAAATCGATATTTTCGCTTTATTAATTAACAATGTGGATAAAACAAGTGAACTAGTCGCGGGTTTGAGCCTCACCAGGCTGGCCATGTGGAATTTTCCGGGTTTTCTTCACGTGTCTAACGAATAAATTGGGATCAATTTTCTTCACAGAAAGTCCCTCTTGGCAAAACACCCGTACGTTGCGTTGCCTTGTCTCATATAATCAAATAAAACCGATAGGGATCCGAAGTTCCTTTATACTTTCTACATTGCACTCTTCGATTCTGTGAATTTTGACAGTTCTGATAATCGAACTGGAGGGAATTTGGCAGAATCGTATTCGTAGAAACCTCACAAACCGTTTCGAATGTTTTATTTAAGGCGCCTTCGATAGAGAACAGACACTTTTAACACCTAAATAAGGACCAGTTTTTCATAGAAAGCCATAGTTTTTCGTAGAAAAAGAGGTATCCTCCTTGACTGATTGATAGCTCATCCTTTCGAGTGGGCTCAGCCGACCAAGCACGTTTGACCGAATTTCTGTAAATTTATTTTCTCCCAGATAATTATACAGTAAAAATGGACGACTGCGTGTTGTTTTTAACAGGTTTTTTCCCGATCGTAAAAGCGCGAGAGACGTTTCTTTCCGTCCTCGAGACCGTTTTCACGCTTTAACGAATCGAGTTTTTCTACTTTTCTTGGGATATTTTAAGAGAAAGCGTGCGCTCCTTCTAATATCTTCTGGTTAAGTTGGAGGTCGGAACCGGTTAAAAATAAAAATGACGTCGTCCACCGGAAAACGCCTCTCGTTTAAATTCGAATATTCGCTTTTCCTTACGTCGTCGACCTTCGTTTGATACGAGCGGCGAACGTTCCAATTTTGATCCTCTACTCTCGATCCAAGGCCGTGCACGCGGGGGTGGTTTTGGAGGTTTAACATCCTCCCCCAAATTGAGAAGAATTATAAAATTAAATAAAAATATTGATACAAAAATCCTCCTGTACCCTATAATGTACAAAATAACAACCTATGTTATGAAAAATTGTGTGCTTTTTAAAACCCTAGCCCATTGGCGCGTTATTCTACCGGCAAAACGGGCAATTGCCTGAGCCCTACCAACAGGGGTGCCCCAAACCAATTTTTTATAAACTCATACTGTAGTAAGAATGTCGAAATTTAAATTCGGTGCCATATCGGGGATCCTAGATTACCGGTATGGCACAAAAGTTAATTAATTTATTAATTAATCGTCTAGGGGTCCCATTAAAAAGCCAACGAGGATATCGGGAGATTATCCTAAAAATTTCCCCAAAGAAAAATATCTGAAGTCAATATTACACATGGGACCTCCTAATTCAAATTTGCCTGAGATCCATAAAGTTATAACGCGTCACTGCCCTAGCATTTTAAAAATCTTGCCCTTTCACCTGAAAATAATAAAGTTTCATAGTCGATTTTATATTATTTTTTGTCAATTATGCTTATTCTGGATTAGATTCGCCCAATTAGTAACTGTTCCAATCCTTCGGAAATCAAAACTTTTCTCCATTTTCGAAGAATTAATTTGAAGAGAGAGGGTTCACTTCTTTAACACTTTGCACCCTGTGGGTACTGAGTGTGTCTTTTTCTTTTAAGCCAGGCCCACAGTGGGGCAACAGGATAGTCAGGAACGGGATTCGACGTATTCGGGAATGGCCATCCTCGAAATATTCCTGGGTTTTTCGACTTGCCCGGATCCTCGGAACGGTAAACTGACGCTTTAACCGCTCGGCCATCCGAGTGACCGTTACATTATATTGTGAAACCGTGAAATGGGGCTACCTCCAATCGACTCGGTGCCCAAAATTGAGTATATTCACTAAAGCCGGGTACACACGTACCAATATACCAGAACAGGTATACCTGAACGTGTGGATGACTGTCAGTTTTTCATTTATATCGAGTATATCAGACAGGCACTCCTGTTCAAGTATATGTTTCATGTATACCGGTGTGTATCGTTTAACACAAATATAATGAGATAGTATAACGAAAAAAGAATTGGGCTTTATCTTCACAGTCACCTTATATTGCTGTTCACTTCAATGGTATTCAATTTAGTTGCACCAATCATTTTTGCTGTTTCACTGGACTTTCTCTCAACACTGACCACTTTAATTTATCAATTTGCATTCTTGTAGTCAAAATAGCAAATAAAGATTGAGACCACGTTTATATTGCAGTGGTTACTAGTATCTAAAACACCAACAAAAGGTGTCTGCAAGAGATTTATTTACACTGCGCCCTTATCAATGGAGAAAAATCTCCTATTCTTATGTATGGTATCGCCTCAGTTGGAGGGAGAAGTCTAATCACCAGAAATGTAGACAAAACGGGGAATAAACAAAAATGTGTTTGGACGGTAATTTTTATCCTCAAAATGAGAAATTATCGGAGTAAATGGGGACGTATGCCAATTCTATCCTCTTAGACGGAGAGACGAACCCGAAAGCCATAAATCCACCGTTGCCCATTGGTGGCCGAATGGATAAATCCACTGAACACCGGTCGTGGGGTCGCGCATCACTAAATTGCTAGCCGCGTAGAGTTTTCGGGGTTTTCTTTGCATGTGTAATACCTAAACACGAGCTAGTTTTCCGGAGAAAGTCCTTCCGGGAAGCTTTCCTCTTGGCAGATCACTCGTGTTTCGCGTTGTCTTATATCATCAAACCAATCCTTAAATTCGTCACTGCTGATAACGGTGATAAAATTAAAAATTAACCACGAAGGTCGCAAGCCTGCTTTTCCCGGTCGAGTCGGAATTAAAGTTAACGAGCGTGGTACGCCCACTTATGATAAAACGAGTGCCCGTTGATTTAACATCTGATTTACAATCCCACGTGGCCGAGACCAACATTAAACCCGATGTGTGCGGGCGGCAAAATTAAGACGATTAAGACGACAATCGGCACTAATGACCTATTTTGACCGAATCTGGGTGGACAACTTTGTTAAAACTCAGCTCTGCGGGCACTTATAGGGTCCGCAGACACGCAACGAGGACAGACGGGTGGTGATATACGAGTTCTGATACATATGAGATATACCGCTCGCAAAAAATTCCTAGGCAGTTGTGGGCCCGGATTCGATCCCGGATTCCTCTGGCGCCTTTAGCTTATCGTATACTATGACCTGCATTTTCGCCTATTTTAGTCTATTTTTATTATTCATAAGTGCCAAATATTTGGCCCGGGAGGAGTAGTTTGGGCATCACCCCTTTAAGTGGATAAACTTAATACTGAATTTTTAGAATGTCGCTGTATTCAAATCCAATTTTTTCAGAATGACAGACCTTTACCGCCTCGGCCATTGGACATTATAGTATGCATTATTTACAGCATTTACATAGGATGAAGCAATTTATATAGATGATGCAAAATGGATTGAAGCAATAAAGCAACGCGACACTCGGGCGATCTGCCAGGAGGGAGTACCTCCCGGGATGATTTTCTACTGAAAACTGGCACCTGTTTAGGTGTTAGACACGTGAAGAACTTTAAGTGGCCGAAGCTCGAACCCAAGACCAATTACTATGTTTAATTAATGGTTTTATCCGGCCGCCCACTGATGTGTCGCGACAAAAAGAACAAAATGACATACGAATAATGAAAGGAAAATTGTAAGAGAATGGATTTCGAAATGTAAAGAACGTCGATCGTCAAATCAGTAAGCCGTTCTTCGTTACGTCACACTCGATAATTTCGAACACGATGACAACGTCATTTCCGCCATTAACAAAAAAAAAAAAAAAAAAAAAAAAAAATTAAACGGTCGAAAAATTAAACGGAAATTTCGCGTGCCAATTTCGAAACAAAATACACCCCGTATTTATTGCCTCCGACGCGTAAACAATACGATATTCCCCATTTTAGAAGAGGAAATATACTACAGTACAGTACCTACCTTCGACATAGACGAACAAAGTTTAGCGATCTTCACGGAATTCGGCCGAGTTTGCATTAAAGTACGCGAAAAATACCGCTCGATAAATTCCCACAAATAAAAAAAAAATTTGTTTTATTATTAAAACGAATCGAAATCATCACTAGAAAAATAGAAGAAAAAAAAATTCGGCGTTAGTTCCGGCGAGCGATAATAGAGTGCGACACGGTCGATTTGTCAGACATGAATAATGGGGGAGTTATCAATGAGGATCTTACTACGTTGATAGTAAGTAGACCCGTTTTTACGCCGTCGTCTTTTCGACTCTTTATTTATTGTTTTAGTATTATACGTTAGCCGAATTTACAGTTATAAATAGCTAAAAATCCGTTAAGAATTACGAACGACACCTTTAAAATACTAGAAATGAATGTGACATTTAATTTTTTTTTTTCTGCAATCGATTGCGCTTCCCATCGTAAATTGCCTAAAATTTTAATGGCCCACCGGTGGCCGAATGTGCATAAAAATGCCGGCGAGTCGGTTGCGGGTTTGCGCCGGCCGCGTGCAGTTTGCCGGATTTTAGTCACGTGTCTAGCATTAAATAGGGGAAGTCTACCATGTGTTGTGTTGCCTTAAACCAGCACAGTCAAACCCGAATTTTTCTTTATTTTGTATTGTCTTTTTTATACAGGTTTTGCACAATGGACTGTTTAGACTTTGCTCTGTTTCTAAAGTTAATCCTGATAGTCACTGGTGTTAGGTGGATGTGCCTAACACCAGTACACATCAGGCCCTACATATCAGGCAAGAGCCTGATATGTAGGGCCTGATGTGTACTGGTGTTACACAGATCTGTGTATACACAGCTTACACAGTGTATACACAGATTCTACATATCAGGCAACGGCCTTATATGTAGAATCTGTGTATAAAAAAATATATGAATTTAATTTTGTTGCTCATTGAGAGATGAAAGTAAAAAGTTCATTTGGTTTATTACAACAACAATTTAATTTACAACAAATTATTTCTTAAGTATAACTTCTTTTTTTTTTTATACATTTCATCTGATAAAATGATCATTCATTTGCTTCTGGCATATTTAACATTTTATACATATTTTAAAAAGGTAAACATTTATGTTACATTCATAGAAAAGAAAAATATAAGGAATTTTTTAACTTTATATACATATATATACATACACACATACACACTACTTGTGATTAAATAGTTGGAAAAGCAGTAGAATAAATCCTTGCTAATTAAAATTTTGGTTTTGCATTTGTTTCCCTTACAGATTTCAACATACACTTTGAATGTATGATTTTGATTGATGTGTATATTTGTACACTTATAATTTAAATTGTTATTTTTTTTAATTATATTATTATTTATTTTATTTTATTTTAAATTCTTAATCTAATTGTGCAGTTTAGTGGACTGCTATCCCATTGAACGAGTAAGTTGTTTCCCGGCGAGTCTGTTATTTGTCTAGGTTGCCGTACAGAAAAAGGATGTCGTCCACTGTGTCGGGATTCAGACTGGTCCTTCGCGCCTTGAACAGAGATTCGGATACGGAGGAGTTCTCTTCCACTCCTATCGATGCGGGGATGGAAAAAATAAATTGAGCAATTTTACAGAGGTGGGGAAATTCCGCCTCGTGCGACTTCCACCAGTTCACCAGGTCGAAGTCTTCGCTTTTACCCACTTTGAGGGCGATGTATTTGCCGACCTCGTCGACTTCGGGCTCGTCGTCGCTGCAGGAGTCCTCGAAGTCGGACAGGGTCTCTTGACTCTTCCTTTCCTTTCCTAAAATTTTATCGAAGGAATTATTACAGTTGTATAAATCTGTCAGATCTAAACTGCTGTCGTTTTCTAAAGATTCTTCGTTAAAGTCCACGTTGCGGGAATTTTCTGCGGAACACATCCGAACGGGTTCGCTTTTGATTTTTTTCGAAAGCGGTTCGCTCGAAACCGAACCGCCGAAGCCGCGATCAAAATCGTCTGGTTTCGACCGACACGAGTCGTTACTGCGTCTGTGGGCTATCATCTTCCTGACTTCGGAATAAACTTCTTGTCGTTCGACGTCGTTCTTTAGAATTTTCAGACTTTTTAATTTGGGATGTAGGAAAACTGCAACTTTATGCAGAATGTCAATTAACATTTTCTCTTCTAGATATAACATTGCAGTTTCTTTTAAAAGACTGAGAGTTGCGGAATCCGAATAATTAGGTTTGAGCTGCAAAATTAATCTGTAATACCACACTAGCACCAGATGAAGTGTCGGATTCGTGGACGTCTTTAATTCATCCAGCGCCTGTTGAAACGGCGTCAGAAATTTTACCAACATACGAAGGACGTCTTTGTTGACGAGCTCCAAGTGATTCATTTCGTCCTGTTCGGATAAGATTTCGACAATTTGATCCCACTGTTCGTAAATTAACGATATCATTTGTATTTTATTATTCCAAATAGTTTTGCTATTTTCGTTTAAAGTGATCTGAACTCCGGATCCTTTAGGTCTGACATAAGTGGATAGAGTCATACAAGTAGTAATTATGTCCCAGACCTCCACATTTTCGCCCAGATTATCCGGTTTTATGGTGTGGTCGAGCACGGTGTTCAGCATGGAGACTGAACAGATCAGATACCTGGATTCGAAATCCGTAACGATCCTGTCCGTAACGTAGACCAACCTGTCGTAGAGGAACTGTAACTCGAACCTACCGAGCGCCCTACGGACGGCAAATCTTATCTCTTCGGATCCGACTCCCTTACCGTCCAGTTCCACCGTACACAGCACCCTGTCGGTCAGGGCGAAATTCTTCAGGTAACGGACCGACAGACCCAGATAGTCTATCTTGTGCAGATCGTTGGACCAAAAGTCCAGGACCACGGCCCCTCCGACGGAACCGAGGATGCGCTTCAGTTCCGGAATCAGATTCTTCCTGGTCAGATTGGCCATGCAACTGACGTTACAAAAGAGAGGGATGGGATGTGGCAACAGCAGGGCGGCATCCACCGTTCCGTGCTGCGCCCCGACGTTGACCAGACACTGAGCCAGCTCCAAAATCCCCTGTCCGATAACAGCCTCGTAAGGTCGAACGTCTTTTAGGATAAAATTCACGACACTTTTCATAACTAAATCCTTTAAGTCCTTAGTAACCGGTTTAAGAGTTTTTTTGGGCAACATGCTCTTCCTTATCGATTTTCCTTCCGTGCCGATGCATTTATGCTTAAGCAGATTGGAAGTTCCCGATTTATGACTACTGAAGTGGTATATTTTCTTGCACTCACCGCAAGCGACGTAATTTTGTATCTTGATTCCGTTTTCGTCGATAATTTCCCTGAACGTTGTCCAAACGACAGACTTGCCTCCCTCTTTCAGCTTCAACGTGTAACTACCGCTAAGTACCTTGGCTTGTATACATTCGTTTTCCATATTTCCCCTGCTAGACGATTCGAACACTTGATTAATTGAATGAACCGTTTCCATAACGATATTATTTACAGTCACGGCTTTGTATATACCGTACCGTTTTCTAAAAGTACGGTCATGCGCGGATATATTCGTGTACCTGTACCCGCATCCGCAATGGCGACATCCGCCTCTACATCCGCCTAACGAGGTCACGGACCCGTCACATCCGCTTCGACTCAATACAAAATCGTCCCCCAGTTCGTCTCTTCTTACTCGTTAACTCTTGTTTTTTTTTTTTATTATGTAATTTCGAATACATTCGAGTTAAAAGTTACGCGTACGAGTTAAGATTCGATTCTTCTCCGATCGATTTCTGCACCGCTCCTGTGCAAAATTACTGTACTTTATTAAATTTATATGCACGATACATCATTTGCCCGTCTTAAGATGCCACCGACCCATTCTGTATCCCATTTATTAATAAAAATCCAACTGTCATACGTAATGCCCGCGCGTTAACAGTTTTATCATCTGCAAAAATTCGATGAACCGATTAATTTTTCGACATTAACGAGTTAATCACTGTTTGTTAATTCGGTCCGTTATTGTAATTAGCCTTAGCTGGAAAGAAACCGAGTGTAACACAATTAAAATATGAATTCCCCATTAAACTATTAAAATAATTTTAAATACAACAGATGACGTTTGTTTATATTATTATTATTATGGCATAGTAGCTTCAATCAGTTCTAAATAATTATATTATGTATTATTAAAGACTAACTGGAAATGTTTTGTCATGTTATTTAGGTATTATTTTCAAATACATATATCAAGTACAGTCAACTCCCCTATAACACTGTTGATAATTCCGTTTTATATGAATTCCATGTTGTACGAGTCACTTAGATTTTACAAATATGTGTGCCGGGCTGTGAACGGCTCATGTATTTGTACAATATGGAATTCATATAAAATGGAATTATCAACAGTGTTATAGGGGGTCGACTGTACCTGTCAAGAATGTCACATTTATTGTTACGTCTACATTTATAGTATTTTGTACATAAAATTGCATGGTATCCTCTTGCGGTAGAAGCTCGATAAAGGTTTACAGTTACATTTAAAGAACATTCCGACTCCTTATATTCTTATAAAGCTTACTTTCGTGATATATAAGATTATTGGTAAGAGGAAATGATGGAAAATGTTCTATTCTGTGTCGTATCATCTAAGACATTTTATCTACTTATACTTTGATGATGTAATTCTTCGATTGCGAGCACCCCAGACCCCAACTAAATATTTTTCATTTTCATTCTCTCTCTCTGTTTAAGCATCTTTTTCTAGTTCTGGTCGTGTTTTTCTTGCTTACGGTTTAATGTACTTTGAAAATGTTCGGCAATCCGATGTTTATAACAGTAAAACCTTTTCCACGTTCTGCGCTCTCTTTGTTTTCGTTCTGCTTTATTTAAAAATTTAAATTTATAATACAGATAAATTGCACTGTTGTCGTTCATAATTAACCTTGTACCAATTGTAAAGTGAGATAATGATTGTAATGCCAATTGTTAGTGATGATATAATTTATTATATCATTCTGTGGATTGGTCTATAAATAGTTAATGAATTAAGTACTTCTAACTCTATCTCATAAAGCAATTTTTCTAGTTAATTTATTGGAGAGTAGAAATCAATTTATTCACTCGATAAATCCAAATTAATTTTTTTTTTAATCTTTGTTTTCTTAATGAAAGATATTTAAAATAGAGAGAGAATACATATTGTCTAGTGGATTTATTTTTTAAAATGCATATTTGTGTCATTATCAAATAAACTTCTCCATTAGATGTACCCTAAA